TGTGATGATATTGGATGTGTTGCTGACAGCTGTCCTGCCCTTTAAAAACACACACCTGTTTTGGGTTTACTGGTATCAAGAGGCACTGTCTGATGTCAACCACGCCTCGCAGAAAAGAGCTCTCAGAAGACCTACAATCAAGAATTGTTGACTTGCATGAAGCTGGAAAGGGTTATAAAAGTATCTCCAAAAGCCTTGATGTTCATGTGTCCACGGTAAGACAGACTGTATACAAATGGAGAAAGTTTAGCACCGTTGCTACTCTCCCTAGGCGTGGTTGTCCTGTAAAAATGACTGCAAGAGCACAGTGCAGAATGCTTCATGAGGTAAAGAAGAATGACAGATGCAGTTCAGAGCACATTTTATGACCAATTCATGCAGAACTCCACGTAATCCCAAGGGGTTCACATACTTTTTCTTGCAACTGTGTGTACCTGGGTTTTTTTTTTTTTTTAACAAATGAAGGCAAATATCTGTATCCCAGGATAATGTTGCAGGATCCAATCTGGGTTGGTCACTGGGACATGAGGTTTTGGTCTTCCGAGCTTTCAGACTTATGCTGGAGCCAATATTCAGGGAACTTCTCTCTCACAAGAATGTGTCCAACGCAACGATTTAGTAAGAAGAGTTGACGAAGTAGAAAAGAGAATAATTCCTCCTTTTCCCTGTCCACTTTAGCATAGATTTTAATCAAGAAGTGCCCCCATGAAATGGGTATATTTAATTTGGGACACTGAAGAATATTTGTTTCAAGAATAGTCTTATCGTAATGTCCATCACTACCAACAAATTATGTATTGTTATAGTTAACTATTATTGTATAAATTGTCATAAGTCATTTGAGGGTATGGTATGACTTAGGCCACAATTCAATCGGAAATTTCCATTGCTAAGCAAGACAATTGTTAAATGAATCTTGCCCATTTGATGACCTTTCTTGCCACAGTTATTAAGTGAAACACTGCCATTGTTAAGTTAGTAACATGGTTGTTAAGACAGTCTAGTTTCCCCATTGACTTTGCTTGTCAGAAGGCCACAACAGGTTAGGAGTAACATGACCCCAGGACACTGCAACCATTATAATGGAATTTTTATCAAGCGACCAAGGGGATGCTGCAATGGTCGTAAGAATGAAAAACTGCCATAAGTCACTTTTTTTCAGTGCTGTTGTAATTTTGACCAGTCACTAAATGTAATAGGTTGAGCACTATCTGTACATATAACACAAAATGTAGATAAAGAATAGTGTGTATCATTCTTATATATAAGGTAATTAGTCTCTCTACGTGTGTGTAGTACATTTAGCATTGCAAATACGTTTAATTTTAAAACATACATAACTAATAAAGCTAAAATGCATTGGAATGTGCTGCTTTATAAAGAATCTTTGTGTAAACCAGGGCTGTTAAACATGCTGGCCACGCCCACGCCCGGTTAAGTGAAAGGGGGGGGGGAAGTCCCAATATGTTATGTGGTGATATTGTCACCATGTGAGTTTGACACCCCTGGTGTAAACAAAGTATCTCTGCTGAGAGCATGAGATCAGTTGCCACCTTTGGAAGACCCGGGAAGTTTCATAGGGGCACATTTTCAGATGTCTGTATTGGTGCCCATGGTTGATCAAGATTCTTTGAACTGGGGAGGCACGTCCAGGTGGCTTGAGAAAATGCATGTGTTTTTATATTTTTTAAATTGTGAAAACAATGAGTGGAATGACTTACCTCCGGAAGTAGTGGGTGCTCCATCATTGGAGGTTCTAGAGAAGAGATTGGACAGCCATTTGTCTGGAATGACATAGGGTCTCCTGCTTGAGCAGGGGGCTGGACTAGAGGACCTCAAGATCCCTTCCAACTCTGTTATTCTCCATTCTGTATATACAGGTTTAAAAACTCAGATGTACAGTACTATTCATTGCTATAAAGATTTTCTGTAATACAAGAACTGAATTACATATTTATTTCTTTAATCGTTCTATAGGCAACTGAAAGTATTAAAATGCTGGCCACTCTTTGCCAGTCTGACAATGAAGAAGTTAGGAATACAGCTTCTGAAACCTTGCTCTCTCTTGGTAGGTTGGTTTTTTTATGATGTTTCTGGTATCTCCTTTTACTCCAGATGGAAAAAGAAATCTAGTGAACACGACAAAATATTAGTGTGAGAGAAGGGTTAAAAAAAAAAACTACAAGAAATAGAAATGAGGTAGTATTAACCAAATTTACTAGCCCAAAGCTCCTATTGACAGTAACGTAGTGGCATAATTAAGTGGTTTACTGTATAAAAAAAACTTGTACTCCTTTCACTGTCACTGAAATTCTCAGGAAGGGAGAGGCCAAAAGTAAGGAGCAATTTCTCAATCTTCCTTTTCCTTCCTCTTTCTTCTTCCTTACCTTTTGAGAGGAACGGTAAGATTGCTTATAGAAAATTGCAGGGCTGTAGGCTATACTAGCGAGTAAAAATAAAAATCTGGAAGAAGGCCATGACAAAAGACTGCTTCTACTGTTGCCAAGAAAACTTGAAAGGCTACTTCCATAAAATCACCCAGACTCCTGGTTGTTTCAAAGGAAACCCAATCCTTGTCCATAATCAGAGTTCTTTGAAATGTGAAATATTATATCCAGTCTTGCCAGGTCATGCAGTGTGAGATTGTGATATGCAGTTTAGAACCGCAAGTTGAGAAAATGAAACATTTGATTGTTCTTTTATTTTGTTGCTGTTCAGGAGAAGATGGACGGCTGGCATACGAACAGCTAGACAAATTCCCCCGTGAATTTGTTAAAGTTGGGGGTCGACGCACAACTGAAGTGGCTACAGCTTTTTAAATGTTCAATTTCTATTTTAAGATATGCCAATTTCATGTGAACCAAGATGGTCCTGTAAATAAACTGAAACTTCAAAACCCATTATTTTGAAAATTGTTTTGTAACTTAGGAACTTATCAGTATTAAAAAGAGAGAGGGGGGGGTGTTAATGAATGGACTGCTGTTGGCTCTTCTATGTAGCTTATAGTGAAATATTGATTTGTTGAAGATTATGACAATCTTGCTTTTTTGTGAAATCCATGTAATTGCTGTAAAGCTTTGGAAAAATGAGAGATGTTTTGAAATTATGTTATGTTAAATATAGAGCAGTGCGTGTTTGGTGGGCATAATTGTGCCAGTTTGCAATATGTGATACTGTGTTGAAAACATTGAAAAGCAAAAATTTATATAAGAGCCACAGTGGTGCAGTGGTTAGAGTGCAGTACTGCAGACTACTTCTGCTGACTGCCGGCTGCCTGCAATTTGGCAGTTGGAATCTCCATCCTTCCGAGGTCTGTAAAATGGGGACCCAGAGTATTGGGGATAATATGCTGACTCTGTAAACTGCTTAGAGAGGGCTGTAAAGCACTGTGAAATGGTATATAAGTCTAAGCGCTATTTCTATTTAAAGCTGTTCTGACTCCCACCCTCTCTGAATCTCATCAAATATCTGCCTGTCTGATTTTATTACTGGTAGCCAGCTAGGTTAGCATAAGCAATACTCAAAATTAGGCCTAACTAAGGATGTGAAATTTCAGATAGTGTGATTTATGTCCCCTGTTTAAATGTCCATTCTTCCTTTTTTTTCTGCCTTTCACTCAGAATGCACATTAATACTAGAATGCATTTTTCGTTGATAACCAGTTGTGTAAAGCAGGTGAAAAACTAAATTGTTTTTTTCCTACAGAGAATTATATAATGACAGATAAGCCCCGAATTCCCAAAATTTCAGGGAGGTGAAATTTACCTGTTACTTTTTAAGACCTTGGTTTATTTAATTTTAATTTTCAATATGACAGATGATAGCAAAGATGATTTCTGGACTGCCTTATACAGCATAAGGTGATCAAGATAGCTTATAGCTTAATCTGATGTAGACTTTCTCTGAAAGTCCTCTTGAGTTTAACCTGTTTACTTTCCAACAAGAATGAATAGAATTGCAGCTCCATAGAACTTCTTGCTACTATTTTTGTGGACGTACAATTATGAAAGCAATTAGTTTCTCTGCTACGGTTGAGGTCCACAAGCAGAAAAAAACAATCAAGCATTCTCTGAATCAGGTAGATTTTGGAGTTTTGTTTAGAACTATGATCTAATAAAGCCCTTCTTTTGCAAATGCATGGTTAAGACATTATTTTTGTGAATGTATATATCTGTATATTTATAAATCACATATAAGTATTACTTGATTAAAATTACATTTGTACAGTTACTGAAAAGTCTACTGAAAAAAACCAAGCATTTCTCATAACATGTGGAAGTATTATGCTTGAGGTTTTTATAGCACATTGCTCACATGAGCTTGCAATCTTTTATGGTCGTCTTTTGTACTGATTCTTGACTTATATATGCCTAATAATTTTGTGGTATTTGTTATTTTTGGTATTTACTGCTTCCTTTAAGTTATAATAAACATTATTTTTGAAATATGAAATATCATGTGATAAAGTTTTCTTGCATTTATGGCGATCAGTTCCTGTAAAAGTATGTGGAAATGACTTTGGGAGGCAGGAGGAAGAGCTGCAGACTAGACAAGTAGCGTGTAAAAGATTTCTTAGCAGGAGGGAGGGCATAGGAAATGTTTCAGATGAGATTGCCCCATTTCCCCAGAAAGCAAAAGGAAAAGAGAGGAGAAATATTTTTCAGTCTTGCAAAATTCTGTTAATATAACCTTACAATAAAGACAGAGCTTGTACTTCTCCTCTGGACTACCTATAAGGGCTCATGGGTGTGTAAGGCTTTCAAAGCAAGATTTAGACATATTCTTCCTGCAAATATTCCTGAACACTGAATTGTTAACAGTTGTAATCTGTGCTCCCAGATGATGGAAGCTATGGTATAATATTTAGAAGATAGCAAACTCTTTCCTTCTGCTTTAAAGCTTCCCTTGGTGCCTTATCATTTTTGGTAGAATGTATTTTTAAAAAGGAATTGTAACTATCAACTTTGCTCATTCTAAAACACAGTTCAATTAGCAAGTGCTCTTAAATACTGTTTTTTTCCAAAGATGAGTTAGTTAGAACTTGCTGTTCTGCTGTTTATTGGAATGTGGCACTGAAGAAGGCATCTTTTTAATTAATCTCAGTTGGTACCCAGAAAAATTAAAAGGGTGACTGCAAAATAAATAGATAAATATTTTTTTTTAAGTAGGATTTAAGTAAATTAGAAAACAAAGGAATAACTTCATGCATGACATCATTAAGAACCTGTGCTGTTACACTGCACATTCTGTTTACAGAATTCATTACCTAGTTACCAGTTATGAATGAGTTTTGTAGTAACTGAATCAATATATTGATTTTTCCAACATTTCTTTACTTCATAAAAGAAGTATACTTCTTTAGGCAACATGGGAGCTGTATTTAGTGCACTAAAAGCTTGTTATCACAGGTATCGTGATAGAAGGGAACCAGTCCTCAAGCTGATAGATCCAACCTTCCACCACCACAAAATTAAAATATATGCCATGGATCTAAGAAATGCAGAGCTGCCACTGGAAGAAAGAGCCAAGGCTGCATTATATATAGGCCTACTAGCTTACACAGGTATGGATGAAAGATTGAGCTAAGTTTGGGATAAGAGATTCAAAAGGAGGCGGTTAATATATTCTACATTCATTGAAATAATATGTAATATATTATCCTTAAATCAGTGGTGTCAAACCTATGACTCGTGTCAAAGGGGACATGCTGCATTTTGGGTGACATGCCAGCATTCATCAACCAACTATTTTTGAAAGCAACCCCATTATCGCAATTTTAGGCTGTGAAGGCTTCATGTCCATGGGGGTTCCACCACAAATCCGCGAAGCCCTTATCCGCAGAGACATAAGCGCCAAGACTAATTCGCGCCGTTCTAAGCGCTAAGGAAAAACGCAACCCTACCGCGATGACATAATCGCTGAGGGCAAATCCGTGCATTCCCAAGTACTCAGTACCCTAAACCTAACCCTAAACCTAACGCTAAACCTAAAGCTAAACCTAACCCCAAACCTAACCCTAAACCTAACG